GTGGCTCCGAGAGAGGGGTCAGCAGGGCCCCTGCTGCCACGCGAAAGCGTGTGCTGTCTGCAGGGTGATCGTGGGGGTGGTGTCTGTCTGTCTGTCTGTCTGCGTGGAAGCAGGTGACACCGGGAAGGGAAAAGGGAGCTTTCCATAGAGTGCTGCTCAAATTTGCTGTTTCTCTTTGCCCTCACAGTTTTCTTTCTGTCTTGGCTCGTTGAAACTAGCAATGTCTGTTTAGATACTGGTAACAAAACAACTTTCCAGAAAGAAAAATAACATTGCATGTGAAAGCTCCCTGCAGTGTTTTTATTTTTAGTCTTCTTAAAGTAGTCCCAAATCTGTTCGCTTTTCTAGTTAACATTAGTGGGAGCTTTAGTCAAGTAGTTTTGGTTCCCTGTTGCGCTTTAAACCCTGTAAAAACAGTGAAGGAGGTAGAGATGCTGCCGTGGTGGTGTGTTTTGAGCAGTGTTTTTCCTGTTGCCTTACTGACCGCCTTTGTGCCATGCTTGTGTGTTCCAGGGTCAACAGCAGTCTGTCCAGCGATGAGCTCCTCCTGGAAGACTTGGAGACTGAAGGAGAGAGGCAGCTGAAGAGCCTTCTTCACCACCAGCTTGATACCACTGTCTCCATCGAGCAGTAAGTCCTGATCTGGCCCCTGGGGGGCCTGCTGGAGGGGCCGGTGAGCAGACTCTGGCCGTGTGAGGGGCAGCAGCAGTGTTACCTCACTGGGGCCTCCTCCCCAGGGACGTGTTTGGTGCAGGCTGTCATCTGCCAAAACAGCTACACAAGCCCTTCCTCCTTCCTTTGCTGGGTCTCCTTTGCAGACACCACAGCAGAAGATAAGCACTCCTTGTCTCCTGGAACAAATGCTGGGGCTGACTTATTTTAGCCCATTACATGAAAATAACTGATTTGCCTGGGCTAGATGCGGGGGTGAGTTTCTAGGCTGGGGAGCTCATCCCCACCAGGTTGGCCTTCATTTGCATCTGCAGGATGTTTGTTGTTACATGAGGTGCCTCCTGCCCATGGTGGGGCAGATTCCTGCCCTGCGGGATCTTGTGGGCTTGGAAAAGGGTCAGGAGAGCGTGGCTCAGTTGTGTTTTGGAAACGTGGCATGTCAGCCTAGGTGCAGCAGGACCAAGCATGGTTGGGGAGAGAGGCCAGCCCCTTCCTATTCCCTCAGTTTCTCAGTGCTAAGTTGTGTCTGCTGTTCTGTTGCTTTGGGTTACAGGTGCAAGTCAAAGCGGAGATGCTTCGCCCCTGCAGCTTTTTACAAGCCTTTTGGGGAAGAGGCTGCGGGGGCTTTGACCTTGTCACAGTTCCAGGCCCTGCAGGAGAGCAACAAAGAAACTGCCTCTCTTCGGGAACTGGGCCTCTCCGACTCGGAGATCCTGCTCTGGAAGAACCGGGCTTCAGCAGGCAAGGTAGCCATGCTCTGCTCTAATGTGAATATAGTCATGTCCCTCTAACCCCATGGCCTGTGGCACCCTGGTAGAAGATTCAAGTCCTTTGTAAAGCCCTCTGGTAACGAATGGCTGCTCCATGTATCTCTTGCCTTTAGGCCAGCACGATCCCACGTTTCTTCTGGCCTGTTTTCTTTGGGGGACTGGTCTGTGCTAAAAGCTATGGTGGAAAGAAGGGTTGGTCCTTTGGAACACAGCAGTACGGGACTATATTCCTGCTTCTGCCTTGATGGTCTCAAGCAAATCAATTCACCTGTTTATACCTGTGTAAGAAGGATTTAAAGGCTCGAGGAGAAAAAGGAGGAAACACTTCAAAATGCCTCAACCTCCTCCTTTCTGTATTGTGACCCATCCCTAGATCCCATGGTTGGCTTGGGATGGCTGTCTGTAGGGGTGGTTTTGTATGTTCTCCTCGGGGGCTTTCAGATGCTTCAAGGGACTGGAAACAGCAATATCAAAACAGCAGTGCAGAGCTGTTAGACCCAGTGTGTGATTGCAATGACATGCTCCTCTTTGGGTGTGGTTTGCAGCAGAGCGGTGCTGAAGCGGGTTGGTCCCCTTCCCTACTTTCAGCCTTTCTTTCACATTCCAGAGCCAAGGGGCTTTTGGGGCTGTCAGGGCTGTCCTGTGTCAGGTGCACTGGAGTGTCCTGCTCTTAATTTTGTAAACCAGGAAGTGCAAAACGGGATGACCCTTGGGTTCCATCTGTCTCTCCTCCTCTTCCTGAGCAATAGCTGTGTGCAGGAGGAAGCCATCTGCGGTAATCATGGGTTTGCCTCCCTTCAGCTGATGTCATTATTTAAATGCAAACCCAGCTCTGGTGTGGCCTGCATTAAAGCTTGGTTTAGAGAGGGGTGGTGTTAAGTTTATGAAAATTGATGCCAGTGCTGCCAGCTGTTGTATTTGGTGTGAAATCAGTTCCGGGATGTTTAGAAGTAAAAATTAGCATGCAAAACCCTGCTCTGACAGAAAGAACCAGTGGCATTAGGATACATCTTCTACAGCTTGTGAGAGAAGAAGAATATTTAGAGAGAAGGCCCAAGTCAGGTAGCAACTTCGTCTGTGGAGGCCCTGAGTGAAAGATTCCACCAAAGAGGAATCAGCTGAGACAGGACTTCAGATTGCCAGCAGAGCTCTCAGCACGGTACTGAGTGCAGGCTTCTGTTATTTTAAGCTGCTAAGTTGCAGCTTTTTTTGAAAACAGAGTACTTCAAATTATTTCCCAGAATTGCTTTTCCATATAAACAGCCTTTTGTGCCCCAGGGAAGCTGTGAAGTGGTGAGTGGAAGCGGTGCAGATGTGGACCCATGCAGTCAGGCAGGAAGGGAGAGGTACTCATGGGAAAGTGTTAGTTAGATTGTGCTCAGTGCAGGGAGAAAGCCTGGTTTCTTGCTCGAGGCAGAAGGATCTGCCACAGTAATTCTCAAACTAAATTTGAGAAAAGAAAACCCACTTACAGTCCCCAAAAGGTGTGTTCTTTGGATTCTGAGAGAGGTGTATGGGGGAGCAGAAATGCCCTTCCAGAAGCTGGGGTATGCCTCTCTGCTTTGGCAGCACAAGTCTGGTGAATCTTAGCTGTGCTCTGGCCCCATGCAGTGGGGTGTATACAGGACTGCTTGCTCGTAGCCAGGTTAGCTGGGAGGCCTGTGCTGCAGTAGCTGGGTGGTTTCTGGGAGCTGGCTCATGTGAAGCTGGTCAGGGGTTTAGTCCTCAGCATAAACCTACCCTCAGGTGCCAAACAGTGGCTTGGGTCCACTTTCCAGCAAATAAAGTTCTCCCAGTGACGCTAGGGTCATAGACCAAAAGTTTGGTGGAAACTTGAGCTTGGTGATACCATAGGTGTGGCAAAAGAAATGCCAAAGGGGGGTTGTGCAGTTACTGTAGGTGGCCTTAGAAAATGGCTATAGCTGGCAGAGGCAGGGACTGCTGGGACAGAGGGACACAGACACCATCCCACAGTGAGGCCAGGGAAAGGAAAGCGGTACAGAAAGGTCAAGAGAAAGGGGCTGTTTCTCCACTTCTCTCAAGAACTGAGGCTTGCTGAGTGGTTGTATTCCTGTCCTGCCCTTGCAGTAACAGGACTTCTTGGTGACCTGCTCTTTGGGGGCTGGTTCCTAGTTGCACCCGCTCCGGGGCTGGAGGATGTGACTGCTGGCTGAGTCTCTGAAAAGGAGGCATGTGGTGTATCTGAGCAAACCTGTTCCTGTCTTCTAGGGCTCTGGGCTGGGAGCAGCCCCGGAGGCCACGCAGGACCGACTCCATGCCATCCAGGAGAAGATGGAAGATTCTTTCTCTGCCCCAGAGGTTTGCTGGTAGCAAACAGCTGAGCCGGCGGGAGATGGAGATTGAAAATGCCCTCTTTCAGGGAACAGACCGCCACTCCTTCCTCCGGGCGCTCTACCATGAAGGTTTGTGGGCTCAAGGCTGTTGCTGTCTTTGCTCCAGCATGGAGAGCTGGGCTGTGTGGGAGTGCGACACGTTTCTGTCTGGTCTCCTGTCCCTGAAGACATAGTTCTGTTTTGGTACTGTGTAGGAGGAGATATTTTCCTGAGCAGACAAAGAGTGGGCTCTCTGAAGGGTTTAATACAGAGGCTTGTAAAGTCCATCTCTGTTTGGAAAGCGTGGATCTCGTGGCTGTGCTGCATGTACTGCCGAGCCCAGCATGGTACGTGGAAGCTGGGGTTATGCTTTGGTAGAGCCCAGAGGTGCCTGCCGAGCTGCACCGAGTGACGCGAGGTGCCTGTGTGGGGCTGGAGATCGTCCCTTCTCTGGTTTAACTGCGGTCTGGCAAGAGTGGGAAGGAAGGAAGGGCACAGAGCAGGAGAGAGTAGGAGTGACTTGTGGAAGGCACCTCCCAGTAGTCGAAGTGGAATTGGAGCCCAGTTGCTAATTCCTAGTACCATGGCCACAGGATGACAGCACTGCTTGCCCCAGCAGTGTTGTCCCCGAGTCTGTGGCTTAGTGTGACTTTCCTGGATGGAGAGTCAAGTATTGTCCAGAGATGGCAAACACTGCTTCAGTCTGCTTTAGTTGGAGAACATGTGGGCATGAAGCTCCAGTCCAGACTGATTTTTGTCTGTAAGACAGTATTAAATAGAAGATTAGGAGGAACTTCTAAACTCCGCTTTGATGCTGCTGCTGTTCAGACTATAATGTCCAGCTGACCCGGGGTTGTCTGACCCCTGCTCCCTCCTTTGGTGTCAGTGTTGTGGCATTTAGGAAAACCAAGAGGCGGCAAAGTTGAGGCTTGTAGACTGGGAGATACCCCTCTCACTTCTGTCCTCATTTCCATTAAACAGAGTAAAGGAGATACCATTGGTCAGTCCGTGCCATGGACCTTCTTTAAACCCAGGAGCTTAATCTGATGTTGTCCCTGGAAGCAAAACGTTTATATTCCATATAGTGATGTAGAAAGGCAGTGTGGCATAACCTGGCCATCCATGCAGGAGGAGGAAGGTGCGTTGAAGGAGTCACTAGAATGTGCTGAAATGTGACTGCAGATAAGTATCGAGGACACCTCTGGAAGAAATGAGCTCTGCACAAAGTGCTGGTAGAGCTGCTGCTCTCTGCAGGTTCATCCTGAGCTGTGACACCAGCGGGCTGCTGGGGCTATTCTTGTTTTAAATAACCTCAGGGCCTCGTTGGCAGATGCATGGAGGCTAGCTTGGAACAAAGTTTCTCCTGTCTGTGTCTCTTCCTGCAGTCTGTGCTTTTTCCAGGTTCTTGCTGGTAGTCACATTGCCATGTTTCTCCGTTGTGGATTAGATGACACTCAGAAGAGGGTAACAGATGAAAAGGACCCCATGGTTCATCTGGAGAGTGTTTACCAAGAGCTGCTGAGCAAGAAGTGGCCTGAAGAAGTCCAGCCTACCAAGAGTGACCCATGCTTGTGCCCTTCCCTGGCCCTGCAGGGGCCTGTGGCAGAGGAGTCATCGCTTCCAGAGCAGGAAGAGCAGGCAGAACAGGCGAGAAGTCCCAGCCTTCCTGCAACAAGACCCCACAAATCCCCTCCAAGGTTTGTGATTATCAAAGAGCCTGTAGAGTTTGTGCCGGAAGAGGAGATCCGCAAGAACCGTCTCTCAGAGCAAGAACTCCGGAATATACCCCGGTTCTCATCCTACCATCCTGGGGAGCCCAACAAGGTATGTCGAGGTGAACTAAGTTTTATTCTTCTTCCTTGCTAGCATGCCCTGAGGCTCCTTCAGCAGGCAAAGGCTCCTCTTTGCTGTTGCCTGGAGGGTGCTTGATTGATCCTCCTGGCCACGGGGGAACAGCCTCCACTCTGGGAGGGGACCTTTGGCTCTAGTGGGAAGTCACCCAGCCTGGCAGAGAGCTGTACTTTCAGACCCCAGCCCTTCCCGGCTCTGGCAGGTCACTAGTCAAGATGTGTTCTCCCTGTTTAGGCCTGACTGAAACCCCTGTCACTTTACTCAAACTGTGCTTGACTGGTAGCTGGAGCTTGTTGTGTTTTATAAATAACTGCAGCTACCAGCACTTGGTGCAGGCAAGTATGATGATTCCTTGAGTCCAGAGCTGCCTTTCTTTGTATACCCACCTGTCTTCCAAACTCCACCGTTAGCATGTGGGTGGAAGAAGGACTCTGGGATGGCAAAGAGGCCGAACTAATTTATACCTTTGAGGTGTACAGACTTGGGACCAGGTTGAAAGGTGCCTGTTTACGTGGCACAGGCCAGCTGACCCTCTGTGTGTCTGGAACAGGTGCTGTATTTGAAGAACCTGGGCCCTCGAGTGACAATGAAGGACCTAGTGTCCTTGTTTGCTCGATTCCAGAAGGAGGACAGCCCACCGATCCAGTTCCGCCTCCTGAGTGGCCGGATGAGGGGTCAGGCTTTCATCACCTTCCCTGGTGAGTCACTGCCTCACGCCTCTCCGTTCTCCCCTGACCCATGAAGGTGCCATATCCTCCTGCAGGCCACTGGCCTGGTGCCAAGCCTGCTCTCTGAGGAGGAGGGTTCACTCTCTCTTCTTCTCATCACGTCTTTTCCCTGGATTGGAAGAGGATTCATCAAAACAGAAGGGATACAGCCTCTTACGTGCTTATATTTACGTATTTATATTCACCATGTCACTCTGGCGGGAGGATCCCAGTGCTGCACTGTACTGTGGTGCAGGCTGAGGGTCCGTGAGCTAGGAACTTCTGTGTGAAGGCCACGTGTGTCTGTGCCAGAACTTGCAGTGTAACTTGTGCCCATTTTGCTCTCTTGTTGCAGATATTCAGTCGGCCCAGGATGCCATGCTGTTGGTAAATGGGTACAATCTGCAGGGGAAGCCGCTGGTGATAGAATTTGGGAAAAGCAAGGGGCATTCGCCAGAGAGTGACTCTGCCATCCCCTGCTCCTCTGCTGGAGAGAACCCCCCTGGCAAGTAAGGGGTGGCTAACTGGGAACGTTGTGGATTTTCATGGGCCGTAGGAACGCCTTGTTTGTAACTGGAACAGTGAAGGACTCTTGGGAGTTAACGTGCAGGTCCACAAATCTCAAAGTAGGGAAGGGAGAGAGCTGGGGACTAGGCTCTTCTTGAGAGAGATGGGCACTGTCTTCTCACGGTAGGGGTGTACTGGCTTTTTCGTTCTGTTCTACATGTGTGTCTGCCTTCTCAGCCCTTTGTGGCAAGAAGGGAGGGAGGAAGCCATGTAAATAAATGTATTTATTATGGTATTTCCTTAGTGTGTGTTTATTCACCTTTGTCCTGCACAAGTCTCCTAGAGCCAAGGGTGCTGTACTCTGCTGATGCAGGACTGTGTCAGCAGAGTTCAGTCCTGGCCTCTGTGCTGGGAGCTGGACTACCTGACTCTTGCAGGGGCTCGTGGGGCTGCTGCCCTGTCTCTGGTGGCAGCAGGTATGTTGCTTTAGGACAAGAAAAAAGGCTGCCCCTCTTCTTCCAGACACTTTGGCTGCACAGGTATCTAATTGCACAGGTGCTTTATGATGGCAAGTGTGTCTTGGCTCCTGGCTGGAGAGCAGCCCTGTGGGAAGGGACCCGGGGGTCTTGGTGGGCGACAAGCTCGACATGAGTGAACACTGTGCTGCAGCGGCAAAGAAAGCCAACAGGATGCTGGGTTGCATTAACAAGGGCATCACCAGCAGAGATAAAGAAGTCATTATTCCGCTCTACTCAGTGCTGATCAGACCACACCTTGAGCACTGCATTCGGTTTTGGTCCCTGCTATACAAAAAAGATGTGCACAAGCTGGAAAGGGTCCAGAGAAGGGCCACAAAGATGATCAGAGGACTGGAAGACCTGCCACATGAAGAAAGGCTGAGAAAACTGGGTATGTTCAGCCTTGAGAAGGAAAGGCTTAGGGGAGACCTTATTACCGTGTACCAGTACATAAAGGGTGGCTACCAAGAAGCTGGAGACTCCCTTTTTACGAGGGGTCACATGGAAATGACAAGGGGTAACGGATACAAGTTACTCCTGGGGAGATTTCAATTGGACTCCAGAAGGACCTTTTTCACCATGAGGACAATTGGACATTGGAATAATCTCCCAAGGGAAGTGGTGGATTCCCGCACATTGGACAGTTTTAAGACTCAGCTTGACAGGGTGCTGGGCCATATCATTTAAACCCTATTTTTACCTTGAAAGGTTGGACTAGATGATTCCTGAGGTCCCTTCCAACCTGGGATTCTATAATTCTGTGAATCTATGACTAGATGTTGGTTATTTGGGTCCTTGGAGCATGCTGATTCTCCTTGCCAGCACCTGCTCCTAGGCCACCCCAATTCAAACCAGGACAATTCCCCCTCCTCCTACGTGCTTTAAAGGTCATTTTGTGCCATGAATTTCTGTGCTTATATTAGTAGGAAAAAATTGACCAAAGATGAAAAGGTATTACTTAAATTTTGTACCTACGTACTTAGTCAGGAATTGCAGAAGCAACAAAGCTGCTTTCCTCTTTTGTAGCTTCACAGTTGTTCACATCTGTGTGCTAATGCTCCCTCCAGGGATTGCACAGCCTCTGTGTTTTGAGATGGTTTGCAGGAGTGCAGCAGGTTAGAAACCTGTAGTGGTAGTGCCCAAGTAGTAGTGGTTTTCCACTTGCTTTCAAAGGTGCTTTGGCCTTGCATAGTATGTGTGCATGAAATAACACATCCTTGAGATTTGGAGTTTAGCACCTGTTGTATACAGGTGAAGTAGCATTGTATTGGAAAGCACATGATGACTGCATACATCAGAAGTGCGTGAGCTCTGACTCTAAGAAGTAAGCAAATTAAAATATATTTAGACAAAAAGTGGTTAGTGAAATATTTTAATCCTAAACCCACAGTTCCCCATCTAATAGTGGTCTGTCTAGAACTGAATTTGTGAAACTGGAGTCTGCTGAATGAGAGCTCAGTCTTCTTTGATGAACCTTGGTGTCGTTAGTTTTTAAGATTTCTTCAGCCTTGACTGGGTGTGCTTGATTCAGTTTTGTAAACATTGGTCATTCATCTTTTAATCACAAGTGAAGTTATTAGTCATTAGTTATCTCATTTGTGATGTACTCCAAGGCCGTTTTCTTCAGCCAGATCTTGCCTGTTCTGTTATCAGGGTAATATAAACTTGTATCAGGGTTTTTATTAAAGCTGTAACCAAGGCGTGTTTTGCCTTGGCAGTGACAGACCGACTCCACTTAGCGCAGCTGTGTCCAACTCCCCTGCAGTCAGTTTTACGTGTCCTTATCTGTGATGGTTGGCTGTGTGCCTGGGGTTGTTACTAGCAGGCCAAGGCTGAGCGCTTTTTCCCTGCTGAAGAGGGAAGGTGGTGGGCTGAGGAGCGTAGCATGGGCTGCTTGATGCTGCAGCCTCTCTGGAGTGTTTCACTCCTTCCTGTGGAACTCCTGCATCTCCCCCCAGCTCCTCCTCTGGAGCTTGTTGTTTATTTCCTCCTTGACACATTTCCCCTCAGAGCAAAAGGGTGAAGATCACCTTTGGATTCACCTGCAAGAAAAAAAGCCACTACAGGATCATGATGTACCTCAACAACTGTCTCATCAGATGCTATGAGAAGGTGGGCTGTCAAAGGAAGGTGAGTAGTTGGACTTGTGTTTTACCCCTTTTTATCTGGGAGAAGGGAGAACGGGGCTTTGCAAAAAGCAGCCTTGTCTTAGATCCTTGTTTCTACATTGCATGGTGTCCAGAGTTGAACAAGGAGACCTGGTGTGTCCCTAGGATCAGATCAGTGTGTGCATCTGCACAGTGGGTGCCTGTCTAGGTTTTAGGTAACTATAGAGATGTCCAGCTGCTGTTTAATACTGCTGTGGCTGGAGGTGCTACCAGAAGATGGGCAGTCTGCCTCTCCTCTAGGGTGATATCCAGATGGGGATCTGCTCTGGCAGAATAGCTTGGACGCATTTGCTTCTAGGTGTTACCTTGCAGCAGTAACTCAGAGCTATGGCATTATAGATAAAGATCTGTATCTTCACCACAGATAATTCTGGTCTGTTAGTTAAGCCAGCTTGTGCTCTGCTTTCTGGAAGAAGAAGTTGCAGAAGTTGCCCAAAATACCTTTGCAGGGGGATTTGCCAGGTTTCTGGCCTAGAGAATAAGTCTTATGAAGAGTGGCTGAGGGAACAGGGGCTATTTAGTCTTAAGAAAAGGAGGCTGAGGGGAGGCGTTATTGCTCTCTACAACTATCTGAGAGGACATTGTAGAGAGGTAGGTGCTGGTCTCTTCTTGCAGGTAATTAATGGCAGAACAAGAGGGAATGGTCTCAAGTTGCACCAGGGTAGGTTTAGGCTTGACATTAGGAAAAATTTTTTCAGTGAAAGGGTTGTCAGGCATTGGAATAGGCTGCCCAGGGAGGTGGTTGAGTCACCATCCCTTAATGTGTTTAAAGGTCATTTGATGTGGTGCTTGGAGATATGGTTTAGGGGTGTACTTGGTAGAGTAGGGTTGATGGTTGGACTTGATGATCTCAAAGGTCTTTTCCAACCTGAATGATTCTGTGATTCTATGATGATATTAGCCAATTTTTTGCAGCTGTGAGGTAGGTAATACAGAAGGGCTGCTAAGGCGCCAAACTAAAACATGCAATCACAAGTCTAAGTCAAGTTCTTGGGGAAGTTGTTTATGTTTGCCTTGGTGGTTCTTGTGCTGCCTGTTGTGCCAGTGGTAGTTGCCCAGCTTCTTACGGAGTTCTTCCTTCCAGACAGATGATTGCTGCACTGGGACAGAAACTCAACAGCTATTGGAAGGTGAAGATGGCACAGATGAACTCGGGAAACGTGGATGCAGCTTGCATGGTAGTGTAGGAACCAGTTTACTGCTGCTCTGATCTTTGCCAGTCTGGGGTTTTCCTTGGCCAAGGTGGGGTGGGAATGTGCCACTAGGAGGAGCAGAGGCTGCTGAGAGGTGACTGGACTCTCCTTCCTATAGGGAATTGGGATTTGAACCTCTGGAGTTTGGATACAGTGATGAGGAGAAGAGACCCAGATACAGACAGAAATGCCAGAAAGGGTGAGTATATCCAGTTCAAATTTGCAGCTCAGCTACCTGGAGCAAGGATGGGGAAAAGAGAGGTGTTGGGTGTCCTGCATACAGGAGATGTCTGCTGCTTTTCTCTTGTCCTGTTGTTCTCCAAGTGAAGAACATATTACCCCTTGATAAGACAGCAAGGAGAAACAACTTCTTTTTTTTTCCCCTTTTATTGGTCTAGGGATCTGGATGGAGAGAGGAAGGAGATTGTTGTCATCATCCGGGGAGCGCATGGTACAGCAAGTGAGGCAGGAGGGAGGAGGCTGCCCAAGGAAGGCCTTGGTGAGATAGAGTTCTCTGGAAGGAGCCCTGGCCAGAGCTAGTGGATCTGTCCTGGGTAGTCTTCTCTTCCCTCCATTTTTGAGAGAGGGGTATGCAGGACTCAAATGTTCTTTCACCCTCTTATGTTCAGACAGAGAAGGGGAGCAGGGTGGAACAGAGGGAGGGACAGAAATCCTTGCCAAGTTGGTCTTTTTAAATCCTCCCGGTTTCCGTGTATCAGTGTTAACACCTTCACACCCCTGTGAACTAAATTAATCTCCATGGATACAGTTCTCCATCCCTGCGGTCAGTCTGGATGGCAGCTGACGTGACTGCCTGTCCACTGCTGGAGCGTTCAGCTCTGTCTATGAATTGCTTTGTGCAGAGGACATCTTTACACAAGAAACGCCAGATAACTTTTGACTTGTTCCTGGCTGAGAGAATTTCTCTGGATAAGTCTCACAGTCTCTTTAACTTTGGTCGGGGGGGTGAGGTATGATTTATTTATTTATTTTTAACTTTCACCCCGTCCTGAAGCCCTTGCTGCCCATGCTGTGAGAGAGCAATGTGGACTGCTCCCTCACGGTGGCACCACCTGCCTGGCTGAGGGGCTGCCGGGACGTGTCCCGCTCTTGTCTCAGCTTTGCTC